GCACCTCCCTGTCTCTCTAAAGGACATTATAATGCAAGAAGCCCCCTTTTTAACCACAAACCGAATTTTCTTTCATTTAGGTGATCTATATATATCTATATCGTATAGCTTATAGCTTATATCTATTTTAAATAACTTAAAGCCGCTAAAATTTGGGGGGGAACAGCTTTCGCCCTGGAGCGGTGCGCGATGCTGTCTCACGCCGACCTCCTGGACGCCAGGCTAGGTGAGTGAGCGCCTCTCACCCGGGCAGCCAGGAGAAGCCGGGGCAGGAAATTGTCAATTTGTTCCTTATTTTACCTTAATGCGCCCTAAATGGACTAATTTCTTTAAAAGTAATTGTGCTGTATTAAAGTTTAATTTGATTTAACATCGTCTTAAAAAAATCTATGGAATATGTAGATCCCAAAACAAAAAGGAGTTGGGAATGCTGGCACTTTTTGTTTTCTTATTCTATTTCTTCCTCTCTCCCCTTAATTTTTTTTAAAAAGGAGTTCTGGCCAGTGATAATTTGTTTAGAGGTGTCTCCCTCTCTCCTTTCCACTCTTGTTTGCTTCGATTTGGAATTTCTTTCGTCTCTTTTTTTCTTCTTGCTTTCTCTCTACCACCTCCTCCTCTAAGTGTGGTTAAATTTGTTTTCTTAAAATAAAAATCTGGCCTGAAGGAGAAGTAATTATGAAGGTGGATTTGCTAAATGTGCTGGTTGAGAAGAAAGCCCAGCTCATCCTCCAGGCATCCCGCCTTCTACAAGGGACCCAGTGTTGCCAATGACTGGGAGGGACGAGCCGTTTATTTCTCAGGAGAGAAAAGTTGAATTCTCTAAAGTTTGATTCACGGTTATGGCTATAGAGTTTACTCGAGTTTCTTTAAAGCTATGCGGGTTACCGGGTTCTGGGTCTCCGGCTTGAGAAGCTGTAGTGATGGATGTGACTCCATTCCCAAACACCTTCTCTGATTTGAGGGGGAGGCGGAGCTGATTTGGGTTTTATTTTGAGGGGTGGAAGGCTTGGAGACATATTCATCTTCCGAAAGTCAGAGGGAATCGGCCAGGGTTCATTGGCGCCTGAATCGCTCTAGATTTTCTTTCTCTCCCGCATCCCCCGTCCAAGACTTTGCTCAAGGTTTCCTGGGACACCGGGGATACAGTTAATGAAAGGACTCGGGTTGGTTTTATTGACGGACCTGGGAGTGGTTTTCTGTGGGAGAAACGAAAGCCGGAGCGGTGAACTAGCAGAGCGCGCTGTGGAGAGAAGGGGAAGGCCAGGAGATGTTATTTCAACCTAGCTGTCCAAATCCTGGGAAACCCGGCTGAGGTCCAGGCAGTTTCCACAGTAGGGCTAGCGTGTGCACCGAGAGAGCGAGGGAGCGGTGGATGGGGCTGAAGTAGAGCCACTCTGGGAAGACACCCGCTCCAGACATCTCCAGGAAAGTAGTGACCAAGATCCCCTTCCCTCCTCAGGTATGAAAGATGCCGCCGAGCTTCTGGGCCACCGGGAGGCGGTGAAGTGTAGGCTGGGCGTGGGGGGCTCTGACCCTGGGGGCCATCCAGGGGACCTGGCGCCCAACTCAGATCCAGTCGAAGGAGCCACTCTGCTGCCGGGTGAGGACATCACCACAGTGGGCTCTACTCCTGCTTCGCTGGCGGTGAGCGCCAAAGACCCAGACAAGCAGCCGGGGCCCCAGGGCGGCCCCAACCCCAGCCAAGCCGGACAACAGCAGGGCCAACAGAAACAGAAGCGCCACCGGACACGCTTCACCCCGGCTCAGCTCAACGAGTTGGAGAGGAGCTTCGCCAAGACTCACTACCCCGATATCTTCATGCGTGAGGAGTTGGCGCTGCGTATTGGGCTGACCGAGTCTCGAGTGCAGGTACACGGGGCTTGGGCTCAAGGGAGGACCAGAGCATGGAGAGCCAGGTATTCTGCCCTGCGGGGATCCCGGGATCCCGGGCTGTGCTCTCGCTGTCACTGCGTTCCTGGGTAGGATGAGCTCTTTTTCTGTCCAAACATTGGCTAGGATGATCGACAGGCCCCAGTGGACTTCCTCCATTGTAGTCACACCCCCCCCAATTCCTCAAAAAACAGAACAAAACAAAAAACAAGCCCAGCATTACGGGGATGCGGGGATGCGGCCATGCGGGGTTCAATTCTCTCCTCCTGAGAGAAGGGAACCTCCTCGTCTCCCCAGCAGCCCAGGCGAGCGCTCACCTTGCTCCAGGTCTCACTATTGACAAGCTTTTCATTGCCCCACAATGAGTTTCTATTACGAATTTGGGTAAATGGGGGAAATGTCGCAATTATACAAAAAACAGAGAAGAGGAGCTACTGTAGAGTGGGTGCTTTTAATGAGGGGGGCGGTTTTATTCTCTTAAATATCACCCTCTCATCTTTCAGGCAAAATACTCTCAGCTTTGTTGTGTGGTCTACCAAGGCGCCAGGACTGGCCGAAAAATAAACCCTGTCTATGAACTCTGGGTTTTTAATTTTAATTAAAATAATTTAGATTCCCCTAAGAATGAAGGCAAGAATCGAGCACTGTCTCTTTCGGATATCTGACCCGAGGAGGGAACTTTTCGGGCCAGAAAGATTAACCTGTAATTGAGAAAAATCATTAGTGTCCTGATTTTTATATAACCACCTTCCAAGTTGTAATTATATAGAATCTAGAAAATTTCACCTGTAACTCTTCAGAAAATCGGGGGAGAAAAGTATAAGATTAATGAATCCAAGTCCTGTCCTTTCTTTTTCCTTTTTCGAAAGATTGGCAGGTACTGTTTTAAAGGCAGGCAGGCGCTTAGGTAAAGCCTTGCACTTAGCCTGGAGTTATCCATGGTGCTGAAAACATTTCGTCCTTACTTCGAACAGTGTGTGTGTGTGTGTGTGTGTGTGTGTGTGTGTGTGTGTGTGTG